ACAGAAAAAAACGTGAGTCTCTGATTATTATACATAGAACTTAGAAAATTAAGTATCGGTCACGGGTATTCGCATATTAAAGCGAATTCTACTTACGAACGTATAATTATTTGTAGTTTAGAATACGCTAAATAGATATCCAATCAATTATGCATATAAATATAATTTGGCACAGATGATCTTGATAATGACAGTGACAGTACTTTCACAATGTCAACTGATAAAATGATAATTGCCGTTCCAGGTTAGTATTTTCAGACATTTTACCTACAGTGAAAATTAAATTTTGTATTTATTGTCATAAAAATATTTTAAATATTCCGAGATATACCGAGAATGAACAAAGACTAATATTAAAATTATTAAATTAGTTTCAATTAGAAAAAGAGGCTGAGTTATTTTTATTATTATTTTCTGTCTTTCGCGAATCAGATTGTGAATTCCGGAATGATATTGAGAAAATATCTTAAACTAATACCGTTATGGATATTTATATGTATTAAAACGGTTCTTTTTAGAACCACGACCACCACGACCATTTTCTTGAAATGTAAGATATAATTGATACCAGCCACATATCTAGTGTAATCATTGATTTTAAAAAATCAGATTCTGAATGGGATTATGAATTTTTTGAAATATAATATTCATTTTTGTTATTCATAAAAAAGAAGGTAAACTTACATTCGGTATCTTGTTTTTTAACTAAACTCCATTAACACGATTTCATCTGGATACCGGAACTGGTAGATTAACTCAAAAATCAACTGCTTCACTATTTAAACTATTTATATTGTTTTTTTAACTAAACTTTATAACCTTCTTTCATTTGCACACCAAATCTGGTAGAAGAACTCAAAAATCAACTGCTTCACTATTTAAACTATTTCCACTATTTAATGACAAATCTTCACAAAATTAAACTATTGGCTGCCACAGAAACTTATCAGAAAATTACTTATCCAAATATGACTGATTTAAATCGATGTTATTTTATCACAGGCATGTTTACTTTGATGACTTGCAATTGTCATTGCAATATGCCTGTGTGTTTGTAATAAATAATAATAAATCCATAAACAAATCTTAGCTAATTAAGCACTTTCCTTGGAATGTATAAAATAGAACAGAATAGAACAGAATTATGACAAACTGCTATGCATTTAAAAAAAAAACACCTTTTCACATTTAGCCGATTACGATCCTGCAACTGTCAGATTTAACTAAAATGTCATGCAATAATTCTCGACATTCTTTAAATCCTATATGACGTCAAAATTAGTGACGCACTGAAAAAAGGGTTTGGGACAGACTGTATATTTATTTTTTACTTGGAGACACGATGTCAAATGTGTGTGCTTTTAGGCCCTTTGTGAATAATTATAGCAAGATGAACTCTTCCATTTTTTCTCCTGGAACTGGCAATTATTGGATAATATTTCCACCACGTCTTTTCATAAATGTCTCATTCTTACGATATAACGAATTCTAGAGTTTTCAAACTAGTTGCAAACAGAAAAAAATAAGTCCACAATGATGACAAAAGTCATTAAGTTTGAGGAAAAACTTAATACAACATTTTGTCGATTAGCACCTAGTGCATAAAATAATGCATATTATGTAGTAGTATGTTTTTTATACCCACATCCTTACTTTGACAAGAATTAGATCAAAACAATAAAAATATTGTACAAAAATTGGTTCGTTATTATATGTATAAACTCTATCGTATCTTTTTGGTATTGTAATAAAAACAAAATCTTTGTTAGAATCTATCGTCATATTGTTGTTTTTGTGTGATACTTCATTACATATTTAAGTAGCTCTTCATCTAATTTAGACACTCAAGAACCACAAATGATTCTGTCTATAACACTATCAAGGTCTATTACATTAGCGAAACTTTACGCAGAAATTTTTTTGAGTTTTTATTCCAAACTAAGTAATTATCTAAAATTATCTTTAATTTAGATTTTTTTATATATACTTAATATATTAGACCTTTTTGCTTTACAAAATAATTAAATATCTCGATTTGTGCGTTTAATCATTTGCGAAAATTATAGGAAATAGTGAAAGTGATATATTTAATACAGCATCTAAGGTCAAGAATGCTTCAAAATAAATAAAAAAATAAAGCAACAAGATTCAATTTACCCTTTACATACTCCACAAAAAGATTGCAAATAACTTGTCATCAACGACAATAATTTTCTTTGAGAAATCTTTAAAGGGCCGTTATTTTTTGCAATAAAACTTAGATAAACTGCTGTAGGAATAGCAAAGCCAATTTGGTTTGTCTAGGACCAAGATCTGAAAGAAAACTAAAAAAAAAATACGCTTATGTGGCGTTATAACCATCTAACAAGTTAAGAGACCAAATTTTAATATCGTTCAATCTCACAGTTTAAACTAAATGCATAATGTCGTAGTTATCCTTCAAACTATAAAAATAGCATGCAGAAACCACGAAACCTGTAAATAGTTGAGTTAGACAAAATTAAAATAGAAGCAGAGAATCAGAAAGTCATGATAAAAAAAAAACAAATAAATAACCGAAACAATACAACAAACAATTTAAAGGAACGCAAAAGATACAATCAATGAATACCTGGGTTCTCGATTATAGTGAAAACGATGAAAATGCAGAAGTGAAATTGACAAATCGAAACAAACCAATGAAAATACTTATTCACAAAGAATTTATGTTATTTTACCTGAGCCTATCATTATTAGTGACCGTATTATTTAGGCAACTGCTAATACTATCACAACAAACATAGCTATTTCTTTTTCGCTCAGAAAGATAACACCGCAACAAGATGTGTGTTATATTTTTTTCTCAAAGTAAAGAGGCTACGACTGTATCAACAGTTTACTATTCGCCGGGTGCAAATACCTGAAGGGGATACGAGAAAGAAAGAATAAGAAAGAAAGAAGGGGATATCGTGCGCGTGCAGCGGTGAAAACCGTGCAACTTTGTTAGCATATTTCATAAGTAGTTATTGAAGAAAATCGGATTTCGCAAATGCTGTGCTATAAATTGTAAAGATACAACAAAAAATAGTAGCGTTATTGAAAAAATGTTTACTTACTATTATTATGTGATTTTGAGTAAATTCTGGAAAATTTTAATGTTTGTAACTAAAAGCTAACGCTAAAGCCAAGCAACAAAAAAGGCTTTGTCTACCAAGATAAGTCCGTGATAAGATGAGATGCCTACCAAAATAAGTCCTGAAATGTAGATGTCGCGAAACCTGCGATATTACCACCTTCCATCCGCAATACGTGTCGCGAAGAAAGGTTTAAAAGAGAAATTCTAAAGGCGAATATGGGGGATACCATCCAACAGAATCTAGATACTTGATATAAACAGCTAAAAGAAAAATTCGGAAAATAGAAGAAGGTTGGAAGGGATAGAAGGTAAAATGATGGGACAAAAATAGAAGGACCTTACAAATATTGCTTCTGAAGATGACGTCTATCGAATGGAGACAATACATTAAATGAATCAAGTCATTAAAAATAAACGATAACAATACAATTTCAATTATAAATTAGTTAAAGTTCAGTTATAACAGTAATAACGCTTTAAAAAAAAAATCAGTGACGATTTGTGAATAGTTTATAATAGGAAGAAGTTAATAATATTTAGTTTACAAAGCACCTGAAGGTCGTATGTATTAAGGTATAAAAAAATGTTTATTAAAAGCTTAAAACTTTTATTTTAAAGATCTTTTCGGAATAAACTCATTCCATCATCAGTTTAATAAAAAGTTGTCAAAAAAACATTGTATGGCCACGTGGAAACATAGTAGAGAACTCCGTATTAAAAAATTATCCTCAAGGTGTTTATGAAGGTAAATGCAATAGACTGTTGATTTGTAGATTAATAAAAACTGAAAATGGGGGCATCTTACATGACCCCCTGTAGTTGGTGAGGTTTTATTGACTTACAATACCTCTGGTCTGTGCTGGAGTATAGGGCTAACTGGCTAGGCTAACCAGTAACGTAACAGTAAAGCAAAACTAACATTTCATATTCTATTTATATGATAACGTCAAATTTTATAATATAATCCGACTCAACTGTATATAGTCATTTTAAGATGTTGGGTTTTACTGTAGAATCACAAGATTATACAAAACATTAGTGTTTCTTGGGTTTGTAGAACAGCAGAATTAATTTAGAACATTATCTTTGAAATCAGTGGTTGGTAAGAATCAAATTTACCTTTTAGAATATTTTAGGATAAAAAAATTCCTCTTCATGTACCATAAAGTTGCAGACTGGGATCTTTGGTGATTTTTAAATTAAAAAAATTCTATCATCATCAAAATTTTAATAAAGTTCAACTCGAGACAAAAGAAATTTTGACAAAAACTTCATTTAGTAGTAAGTAATGAATTTTGAGCAATATAAAATTCAAATTACAACATACAGCAATGGAAAACCTAATAAAATAGATGAAAAGTATGCTTTTAGGTACTTTGTTGTTATATGTTTATCTCTTGTTAATGTTATGGGAAGTTATAAACATAGAAACATTTTGCTGGAAAAATATAAATAAAAAAGTCAAAGTTTACTCTGGGGTTTTTTAGTGTGGTTCAAAATTAGATCCTAGGGAGATGAAAATAAAAATACAATGGGTTTATCTTTTCACTAAAACAGTCTTAAATACATCACGAAAAATTCAATAAATGAAAAAATGTTTCATTTGTCAGGTAGTGTAATTGTTAAACTAACGAAAACTTTGTATTTAATTGGTATGTAGCCATATTCTCTAAGATATACTATTTTTGTATTTTAATTCATATACATGTGTTAAAAAATAATCAAATGCTTAAGATAACTTCCTCTTTGATTGAAGCTGGCAAAAATATTAAGCAAAATAATCCAAGTTATTAATGCAAAAAAACTTTCTGCAAAATATAGTAAAGTACCATCAATTCTGAATAGATTACCTATAAATTATTTTACATAAGACAGAATGATTAGAAGAATTTTAACGATGAACCATTAATAATAAAGTACAGAAGCATTATAAGAAATATTCCAATAATGAATATATCAATGTCATTTTTTATATAACAACTTGCTTTCTAGAGTGCAAATAATTGCAAATAACACAGAAACAGAAAACCCAGATATAAAGAAAACATGAATGTTTAATAGCAAATATAATACTAACCTACAACTATTACGAGAAATATGTTAAAAACCTTTAGCAACAAAATGTTGGTCTCTCTATGAACACAGCATGTAAATATAAAAAAATAAAAACTAATTAACAATATTTATCAACGTAAGTACAAATAAAATCATTTGTGGACCCATGTTTGTGTGATAACAATCTTTAAGCCAAATTTCTAACACTAATAAACCTTTTTGTGACTAAGTCAATCAACAATTTGTACTTAAATTATTTTGTACTTTTTCAAACAATTAAGAATGAAAAAGTTGTTCATGCATATCAGGAGAGCTCCCCAATGGGGGCATTCTCCAGCCACAACTTATGTAAGAAATGGTAGAGACTGTCACTCACTGAAACCTTGTAGGGAGTGGGATTGAGACTCCTTTTGATGTCAGGCCTGAGTATTTTCAACGATTTATTGACATTTTCTTTGATTTGCTGGAGGTTTGGTAATGGCCTGATGATTCTACCATCCTTCCACTGAAGTAAAAGTAAGTTCTCTACCTTTGAAGGTATAACATAGGCTCTTTTGGATTCTTCAAATGGATGTCTGCATAGCACTTTGGATTCTGTGGTTGGTGGTGTTTCATCTGCTCTCTGTAAAAGGTCTATCAAAGAAAAAGTATTACCATAAAGTCTGAATGCATTTTTCTTTCCTGGAATGGTCACTTTATCCACATCATGGCTAAGTTTAATCCTTGGTTCACCATCTAACTCCACCAATTTGTAAACACAACCTAGAGCAGGCTGCTTCTGACAGGTTACTAAATGTGTACCAATACCTAAGGAATCTATACAATGCCCTTGCTCATTTAGGCTTATAATAGTTTCCTCATTTATATCATTTGAAGCCATAATATTTAACTTACTAAAATATGGAATATTGTAATCTACTGCAATCCTTTCAAAATATTCTCTTGCAACACCTGAAAGATACGCCAAATCGCCACTATCCAGTCTAATGCCTATTGGTTCATACCCAAAGTCATGTAACGCCAATGCCACTGCACAAAAATTTATCAAACCACTTCTTTTGATGTCATAAGTATCTACAAGTGCCATAAAACCAGTTGGTAGTGCTAAAGCAAATGATACAAAAGCTGCAAACTCCCCATCACTAACTTCTGATAGTAACACATGGAATAGGGTGGCAACAGTTCCTCTCCACTTTAATGAACACTCCAAAAAGTCTCTGGCTTCCCCACCATTCTTCGGCATAAGGTTTCTGTTTGTTATATCCTCTAAACAGTTAAAAGATGTGATGTAGGAATGTGCGTGAGTACCTTTGACTGGAATGTTGAATAGTTTCCCTGCAAGAACATTGCTAGTGCCATCAAAACCACCAATATATGCATACTTAGATGCTGACAAGCCTCCATCAGGACCTTGTGCCCTTCGTAGACCAAACTCATACAACTTTAATTTGCCTGCTGCTAGCCTATATCGCGCTGCATTTGTAGCCATCAGGCTAGCGTAGTTCACCAAATTTAACAGTGTAGTCTCTAGAAGTTGCGCTATAACCAGCGGCCCCTCTATTCGGATTAGAGGCACTCGAGGAAAAACAACTGTACCTTCATTAACAGAATAAAACTTGATTTGGTCTGCTGTGACCGTTCTTAAGTAGTCGAAGAACTCTTCTTCTATTGACGTTGGCAATATTTGTTTGATGTATTCGATGTCACTCTCGGAATATTTGAATTTTTCGAGGAACTTAAGACACTCTTCTAGGCCCGCGAAAATTGTGAATTCCCCTTGGAATGGGTTTTTTCTAAAGTAGAGATCAAATACTGCGTATCCGTCTATTTTTCCTGTCTTCCAGTAGGCATAGGCCATCGTTATTTGGTATAAATCAGTCAGGAGGGGTTGGACAATACTATTTTGCCCGATTTTTTTATTATTCGCGTCCGTCATCTTGTACACCACTCGAATTCAATTCCACTAACAAACACACAAACTGTTGACAACACTAAGTTTTTCCAAAAAATCGTTTCTTTGCGAAAAAATTTAATTAGATCTCGTCCTCTACATAACCTTATTTGTTTATGATTTGAACGTTTTTGAACTCTGGCATTTTATATTGTTCAAAAATGCTGCTGTCTCTTTTTCGCCGATTAGTACAGCGCAGAAGTCAAAATATTCAATAATTTTTACACTTCCGCATAGACAACACATCATACAGATATATGTATATTTGGTAATAGATATTAAAGGTTTCGATTTTTCTATCATTTTTTCTTATTATCATTAACTGTTACAAATCTTCTTTCAACCATGAATAATAGATGAATACGATACTTTACTATATTATTATGTAAACGAGAATATTGAATACTACAAACTTCGTACTTTAACTGCATTAATGGTAAAATACATGTTTTTATTCTCTATTTTCATAGGCTTCTTATTTCAAATATATACCTACTACCTATATAGGTATAATTCCATCTTCGATAATTCAATTAATATGGCAAAATAAGATGATTGTTATAAATACAACTTAATTCATTCAACCTATGGAATAAGGCATAATTGAAAACCAGAATGACCATTATGAGAAATATTTGATTGAGAGTTTTATTTCATTTGATGATCTAAAAAATGAATGAATTTTGGAAATCTTACACTACGAGGGATGTTATTTATGATGCAGCCAATACATGAGTTGATATTCAGTATCTATACTAAAGAATGGATGGAACAATCTTTAGTCTCAACGCCAAGAAGAAAAATTTGAGATAATGAAAGCTGTTTCAGTTGATGGAATGATACAGCTTTGTTATCATTTTGAATTTGATGTCAAAAGAAGTAATCCAGCTTTACTAGAATTTGGTGTATGAAGGGTTCAAAACATTGGGTGCTAGTAGCATTCACAGACCAAACTAGCATAAATGTTGCCAATTTAACACGTTCTACACGACAACGTGACTGTCGCGTTAAGTGAATATTACGTTAGAGGCGGTAACGCAACTCGTACGGTCTCTGTATATGTGACAATAAATGGAGATTGTATCAGTGAATTTCTTACGAATATTCACAAATACCGCTGTTTGTGTTTGGTTTTCGAATGTTGATGTATAATTTTTAATAATGCCCATTGAACAAAAAATGAATGAAATTCGCAATGCAATTGTTTATTTCGTAATTATTCAAAGTGCATGCACATAAAATAGACAAAATGTAGCTAAAACAGGATGTAATAAAGTAAGATCAGTGCCCTCTAAAACTATCACCAAATGTTTTATGCTGATATACATCCTGCATCTACAATAAACTGCTTTATGACTTAATCCAACGCCTGGAAATTTTTTAAATAATATAATTAGTAATATTTTCAACTACGTAATGTTGGATATCTTTAGTGCAGTTCCGATCGAGTCGTGATTTTATTGTACCCGTTTGGGTGATGAATACGGCCAACCCTCAACTTCTAAGCCAGGCAGACGGGAGTTTCTCAATCATTATCAGATGCTTAACTCTTTGAAATATTAGAAGATTCGACAAGAGAATCTGAAAGTAGACAATCATACTCAAGAATATGCCTTCACCTTTCCCTAACTAGGCTCATTCATCAATGACAGCAACAAAGTTAGTCAAGAAATACAAGAACAGGTTCCTAGCGGTAATCAGTGTTTTTATGCATACAAAGACTTATGAAAAGTAAGTTACTGAATCGTGAGTCTAAGCTTAGAATCTACAAAACAGTAATTATTAGACCAGTGGTCAAATAAGAATGTGAAACATAGACCTTTCAACTACTGATGAAAATCAATTGAGAATATTTGAGCGCAAAATATTAATAAATATATTTGGACCAACCCATTGTAGCAATGGTTCGTGGAAAATAAAAATGAACTCAACTGGATGAATTAATGCAGATAGCGGACTTATAAAGTCACAAAGACTAAATTGCCTTCACCACTTAAAAAAAAAACAGATAATCAAGCTGTAAAAGTAATCCAAGAGGTACACTTCAAGGAAATAGGACAAGAAGAAGGCCCCATAAAAGGTGGATAGACGATGTTTAGGAAGATCTTAAGACCATGAAAATTAGGCCGTGTCGACGAGAAGTATCTCAGGGCAGAATCGATGAACATTAAGTAGGCCAAGCAAAGACCTACAAAGAGTTGTAGCGTCATTAGAAGAAGAGTTGTGCAAACCACCAACTCAGCAATTTATTCTTTAAACTGGTTGTACCAAGTCACCACTGATGTCAAACTTGAAGTAATTGAGCCGCCCAATTCTAGCTTTTTAATTCTGGAACACCATTAAGTTTTTATTCATTTCAACAAATTAACAATTATGGTTAATCAAAGTTCTACTGTACTCAATTCTATACTTGACACTTGGACTCCTATGTGTATCATATATAATACACAATAGGTACTCTCCCTGAGCCTATGTGTATGAATTTGATACACGAGGGTAAAACACATTCAAGCGACGGTGTATGTGGTCCGAACGCAGTTGTAATGTATTTATACGTGTATTATCATTCCTTTAGGTTGTGGTATCCAATTTTCAATGTTAATTCGGTAATCCTAGCATACTAAAATCGGCACCAATGTAGATAAAATTTGGAGACACGAAATTGTCGAGTGGCATACCAGTTGCTGTTAGACCTTCATTGTAGTAGAGTTTATTTATATACAATGTCTAAAAATAACAAGAGATACCTTTCTTTATAAGAACTTGAGCATCTGGCTGAAAATTTTAGCGAAATAAGTGATAGTGAATTTGATGATTCAGATGCCGATCCATTATACACTGATATTTCCGATAACAGTGAATAAGTACTCTTCAAATTGTGAATCACAAACAAAACGGCAGAGTGGTACAAATTTGAAATGTATCTAATTTTGAAATATTTTAGGATGATAATGTTATAAGTCAACTTGGAATTCAAAATGAACAATTGAATTTGCAAATAAGAATCTGAAATTGAAGATCTAAATAATATAGATATGGTAAATCCTCATATAGGAAAATGTTATATGGAACAATGTTGATGGAAATTTGATTACATTCGACGTTATATATGAAAATACTTCTTTTGGTACAGTTGTAGAAAGTAGGGAAAATGATACACCTTTAAAATTTTATAGACTGCTCCTAACAGACGAGATACTCAATATTTTAGTGCAGGAAACAAATAGATATGCTGAACAAAAAATTATTGATACTATAAATCGTGAAAACGTTAAGACAAATTCATATCTCACTGACTGGAATGATAACAGAGAAGAATATTAAAATTTTTGTGAATTTTGGTATGGATGGGTTTGAATCCAAAACCACGACTACAAGATTACTGGAGCACTAATTTTATCCATCACTGCTCAATATACAAGAGAACAAACATGTCGAGGTGTACATTTGAGGCTCTTCTTGCTTGCTTCCATTTTTCAGATAATGAAGCTTGTCCTGAAGGAAGCAGATCGTTCGAACCATTGTTTCAGGCATTCAATAGAAGTTTTCAATCTGCTTTAAATACGTTTGCATTCATGAATCTATGATTCCCTTTAGAGGACGTTTGTCATTTTTACAGACATACCTGGCAAACGTAATAAATAGGGCGTAAAAGTTTTCAAACTGCAGACACATATCACGCAAAAATTTATGGCGGAAAGCAGAAAAGACCAAAGGAACAATCACTAGCATCCCTGGTGGTCATGGAATTAATGCAACCTTTTCTACACTCAAGAACTTTGGTTACAGAAAATTTTTACACTAGTGTCAGTTTAGCACATGAACTAAACGATAACAATGTGCATCTAATTGGAACTCTTCGTAAAAATAGGAAATACAATCCCAAGTCGGTGTTTGAAGCAAAGCTAAATAAAGGAGAAATGATGGCGCTACAGAGCAACACAAAAGTTATTGTATGAAAATGGATCGTCAAAAGAGAGGTAACATTTTTGACTACAAAATCTTGTCCAGAAATGGTTGACGTTCATACAAAATCAGGACTAAAAAGAAAAACCTGTCTACAATAGTAGAATATATTTCTGTTAAATCTTACATTTACATCCCTGAAGAAAAAGCTTCCTACAGTGATCCTATCAGATGTTCTATAAAATAGAGTTAATGACAAATACAACCATAGTGAATGCTGTAATTCTGTACAACAAAGCTTTAAACAAAAAAATGGATGTAACACAATTTCACGAAGAATTAGTGATTGCCATTTGCAAAGACAATATTGTTACAAAAACTCAACAAACACACCATAGGCTGGATTATGACAAGAGGATGATGTGTTATTTGTTACAGCAGACTGACAAAATCCTTTGGTTGCATACATGCATATAAGAATTCCAAATACAGCAACACTAGGTGTACTGGTACTGAATGTAGAGAAAAAAAGTTTATTTGTAACATTCTTACAATAATTTTTGTCATACTAATATTTTATATAATTTTTAAATAACTTTGAAGAATTTGTATGGTCAACAAATGCTCTTTTGAACTCGATATTTTTCCTAAAGCCTCAATTATATTGAGAAATACAAAAGTAAAACTACAAAACGATAATACTCAGTTCTAACATATGGTTCAGAGACCTGGACTATAACAAAAAGTACCAAGGCAAATCTATGAAGTGTCTAAAAGACAATACAACTTCAACTTTATAGAATATACCAGGAACGAGATAACATATTAATATAGAACATCTGAGGTGAATAGAGCATGTAATGTGGGTGGAACAAAATTACTCAGCTAGAAAAACACTCCCATAGACCCATTGGTCAGAGAAGATGCAAAACAAGGTTCTTTGATAACAGTGATGAAGACATGAGAAATATGTGTTTGCTAGAGGAAGGTGATAGATAGGGACAACTGGAGAGAAATTCTTGAGGAGGCTAGGACCCACACAGGGTTGTATAGCTAGAATGATCATGACATTTTTAAATATTAGATCTATTTGTATGTACATAGTAGTGTAACAGTGTCTGTATGTAAAAAATTGGTTTAAAGAATTATGGAATCAACAAAAAAATGATTATAAAATATAAGAATGTCCTCTTTGCTGGAACACAAATGAAAATTTTAATGTATGTAGGTTTTAAACAGCAATACAAACTAAAAGGGAACAATAAGATTGAAACAAATAGGAGATGAAAAACCAAAAGAAACTAGTCACATCAGAACCACATATAAATTAATGTTTATTTATATCATTAAACCACTATCAATACTAAAAACATTAAACAAGCAAAGAAACACATTTAGATGGAAAAAAACTTATTTTATTAAATAACGTTTACATAATATTAACGTTTTCCTCCTACTCTAGGTGCAGCTTTGGGTAAATTCTTGCTTACTTTTTGTTTAGGAGCTGGTTTGGCCTTGGCAGGGGCTGTAGCCTTCTTGGCGGTCTTTGTGCTCTTTTTCTGTTCTTTAGCAGCACTGTAAAAAGAAAAATATTTAAAAATGGTATTATATAAAATAAACATTACTTTATTGAGTAAATTTGAAATTCGTTGGAAGTAAGTAGTTGGTTGTAAACAAAATAGAAAGTATCATAAGAATCAACTGACTAAATCAGGATAGAAATAGAAGAAACAAGGACAAAAGAAAATAACAAAACTTTTAATCAAGAAAACTACTAAAAGACAGATGAAAGACCAAGTATTAAATTTCACAATAACTTTATTCTTTTTAACATTGTAAGATAGAGAATTAGGGCGTTACGCATAAACGGGCACTCTAACCTAAGCAAATATATTTTCCTCAAGGCACTGCGTCACAGTGTTGCCGTATTTATTTTAGTAAAATATGTATATGAATGCTACAAATATAAAGTTACTTTTACGAAATAATAATTTATGTTATGAGAAGCTACAAATTTTAAATAAGTATAAAACTTGCCGTATTTTTTTGTAAAATGTATATGAAGGTTTAAAATATAAGTTACTTTTACGAAATTATAATTTGTATTATGAGAAGCTATAAGTTTTAAATAAGTATAAAACAAATATTTTCTGTTACTTTAAATGCAGTTAAATATTGTAAATTAGCACTTTCCAAATCTTATCTATTGGGACCTTATTATAAGGTGCGAATGGTCAACCCGCTACAATGACACTTGTGAATCATAAATTGTACATTTCCTAAGAAGTTTATTGCGGGCGACTGATAAAAGGGTATTTATTTATAACCACAGCTAAGTCAAAAATGTAAAAGCATTTTTATTATATAAGGTAATTTAATTAATATTATTAATTTTTTATATTATTTTAATCAATTTTATTGTATATGCATTTGATTATTATCTCTAATTTAACTAAAATCTATACTATTAATTTTTTATATCACTTTAATCAACATTTGTATAATATTATGTGAGAGTATGAAAAAACTGGAGACTTGGCATCTCTGACACCATTTAAGCCTATGTTAAATGTCATATAAAAGCTTGGTTAGGTTAGAGTGCCCATTTATGTGTAACACCCGAGAATTATACACAATCTAGGAAATATCTTAACTTTGAACCAATTATAAAATTTTAAAGTAGTATACAGCTCAAACATAAAGTAAATATGAACAATTTAACTGGGCACAAATATGGCAAGAAAGGCACAAAGACTAAACTAGTTTGGCCACTTAGAAAGATTGCCACATAATCGAGTTGTAAACGTAATCCAGAGAAGGAAAGCCCAAGGAAATAGGACAAGTATAAAGCCCTCTTGAAAAAGTGGATAGATGATGTGCAGGAAGATATTAGGTTTGTTCTAGCATCAGTTTCAAATGGTTTGAAACCATCAGCGAATAGTGGACCAGTGCGAGTAGAGGGGATATAGCACTGGTGACTGTATTATTTTCTCTCGCTGACCAACTGTTTGCTGACGGTTTCTGACTAGTTTGTCTGTTTGCTAGAACAAACCTATTAAAACCATGAACATCAGTGACAAACGAAAGTATCCGATAGGGTAGAATGGAAGAACATTGTTAAGCAGGCCAAGACCCAAAAAGGGTTGTATCTGTATTGCCATTAAACAAAGAACTGGACAGACTTTACACAGGCTGTGATTTCAGCACGACATTGTATGGCAGAAGATATATAAATTATAGACAAGACAGTTAATATGCATTTAGCAGTAGAAGTAATTTGTTTTAGATTTATTATATATTTTCCATTTCATACAATGTAAACAATTAACAAGCCCTTTAACAAAACTCCAAACATGAAGTAATTGGAAAAGTTAATGAAGAAACTATTTAAATAGAACTACATTTGAAAGGCAACTGAAAAATAAATCTATAAAACAATAACAGAAACCTGTGCTAACACATCCATCAAAAATGATTTAATATTAAAATTTCTACTTACCGAATGGCTTGTTCTCTCTGTGCCTTTCTTACTTCTGGCCTTTGATTTCTCTTGGCCATGATATCATTTAAAGAAGCTCCTACAATAGCCCTTTGGAATTTCTGTGTTCTTCTGGTACGTTTTTTGGTAGCTTCTTCCTCCTGACCTTTCTTGTGTTTACGTCTGTACAAGACGGTCCACGTTACTTTACGGGGGTTCCTTTTCATCAAGTGTGCCCTTTCACATTTTGAGTTGAGGAAAGTGAAGGTCTATAAAGAGGTTATGTTTATTTTCTTGTACAATATTAAGTAATATAAATGAAACATGTAATGGGATTGAGTATATTGGTATTTAAGTATTTGAAACTTACCTTTCCATCAACTTTAACCATTGTTTTGCCATGTCCGGGGTAAATTTTGTACCCGCTGTAAGCACAAAGTCCGATCCTAGAAAGAAAGAAATATTTAGTAATTTATTTTCATCTAAAGCCACTAAACCATTTTTAATATGAGATTTAACTATATATGCTAAGATGAAATAAATATTCGCAGAAAACTTACTTCATTTTGGAATGAAACTATTACTTAAATGACAGATGACAACTAAAGAGGTTGATATTTGATTTTCATTTGACAGGACGTCCTACAATCACGTTTAGAGATTACTATTTGTAGTTTTCATAGATTCCTACAGATGTCGCAAATATACTTAGTACAATTATTGAAATTATTAATTTTGTCTACATAATAAATTTGTCTAAATTGTAATAGTTCGCACTGGTTTAGATGAACAGATACAAATATTTTAAATAGAACAAGGACATATCAAATTATTCGCGTGATTGATTTTTTAATAAAAAAAAAAACATAAAACTCACTCACTACTGGTTTCCTTACTTTTGTCTTTTCCTTATCCTTTTCGCTTAGTCCTTGTTCTCATTTCAATGTCCTTCTTTTTATTGTCCCTAAATATTTTATAACCTATTTTATGACCCTATTGAGCCTAAATTGACATACAATAAGCGTTAGCTTGATATAATTAAGAAAATCAATGCTATTTATGCATGTAATAATTTTATAGCAAGTAATTCTTAAGTCAAAATCATAAGTTAATATTTATTTATAATATAAATATTTTAAAAATTAATTCAATACCGATATATTTTTTGACGTGACATCTGTTGTCTGTCATTTCAATCAACTATGTCTGTCGTTTCCTGTTTTTTTAGTGTTCATTTTCCTTTGTGTTCTTATTGATCTGATAAAATATATAAAAATATTAATGTAGCTTTCTGTTTTTTTTTACATTTGCTACAGCTTTTGAATATTTTTCATTTATTTTGTAAGAATTTCGATCAAATATTATTTTTACTTTTAAAAATGCCCTCATATAATTTATATAAAATAATATTTCAAATGATTTGGAAAAAAGTTATGTGTTAATTATCCCTTGCATAATAAATTGAATTTGAAAGAACATTATTTAAAATAAAACTAATAGAAGTATTTGTTTAGCCTTATCCGTAGGCAGTATTATATTTTTGTCCAATAATTGTAGGAAATTATTTCAAATTAATACTTCGCATTTCACTTCATAGATGACGCAAGTATGAAGATGCACACTGATACGTGCATTATAACTAGAAAACACTGCAAAAAATGAAATCTACACGAGCTTTTTTATACGAATTTTAAATTCATTTTCTCTTGTAAGGGGCCGTCACTTGTTGGCGCCCCACAAAAATCTTTTAAATTTTCCAATTTCCACTTACATTACAACATGCTTAGTTGTAGTTATTAAGATGTAGTGGTGACTGGACTGGTGAGGTGAAGTGGTGAGTTATATAAATTACATCACAGATGAAGAATGAAGAAAAGAGGAACCATTAATCAATAAGCGTAGGAGTATGAGTTTGTGATTAAATAATTACATCCAGTCGTTTATTATATATTATTATATAATATTATATACTAAAATAGACACAAATTACAGTTAGGAGTCACAAAAATCTTTTAAATTTTCCAATTTCCACTTACATTACAACATGCTCAGTTGTAGTTATTAAGATGTAGTGGTGACTGGACTGGTGAGGTGAAGTGGTGAGTTAGATAAATTACATCACAGATGAAGAATGAAGAAAAGAGGAACAATTAATCAATAAGCGTAGGAGTAGGAGTTTGTGATTAAATAATTACATCCAGTCGTTTATTATATATTATTATATAATATTATATACTAAAATGGACACAAATTACAGTTAGGTTTATTATTAGTTTAATTAACATTTCATAATTAATTGATTACAATATAGATACTATTTACTAGATTTTCATTGAGTGCTTTCGTATTATTAGTGTTGTTCTGTGATTTTTCCATACTGACCTAGCTTATGCCAAATGTTTGATCTTGTTCCATTCTATTCCTCATTTTTCTGTCTCCTGTGTAACTTTCTCCTCCCATAGCGGTTTGCTGCATACCTTCTTTATTTCCTGTGCACTAGTTTCGTATATATTTTTTTCCAATCTTTCGGCATTCATTCTGTGTATGTTTCCTCTCGTGTGCCTCAGTTTAAAAGTCAAGTCTTGGGCAGGGCCGCCCAGAGCCAGGCCGGGCCCCGGGGATGAGACCCGGCCGGGCCCCCCTCCAAACCCAGTTGGACGAAAATTACCAAAAATCTAATAACTCATAAACTGGGATATATAATAGTGAACATTCATGCTACTGACACAAGAAGGAAGAAAATTAAAACAGTTTCAACAATTAAACTTTGTTTTTAATTATCTACAATAGAACTGTTAGTTACAACATAACTTTTCTTGCTTTCATATCTGCAAAGTTTTGGATCACGTGCTCGAAATCAAGAGTTTTTGCAAGTTTCGACTCTATGCTTAACAGTCCCAAATCAGATAATCGTTGTTGACCCATAGTAGATCTTAAACAATTCTTAATTCGGCTCAAAACACTAAATGATCTCTCGGCCTGAGCAACGGATACTGGTAGGCAACAGAATATGCGAAGAGCAATGCACACATTGGGGAAAAGATTTGTCACATTAAGGGATACGAGCTTGTTCAAAAGTTTGGCTGGTTTCAGCGACGTATCTGAGATGTTTGATTTACTAACAGTTTTCAAGTAAATCATTTCATCAACTAGATCCCTGCTTACATCTGAATGGTACTCTTCGGCGAATCTTACACAACTTTCTGAGATCGTATTCTCGTCCATTTCGTTATACTTCCATAAAAATGAAAATTTCATTTCGATTTCTCTCAGTGCTGTGAACCTCGTTTTCAGGTTGGCCACCAAAACATCAATTATTGTGTAAAAAACTTCTATTTTGAAGCGTTCTTCCGGGGATAAATTAAACATTACATCTTCTGTAGCTGTTTCATCGTGAAGAGTCTTCCTCTTTCTCGCACGGGAAGTGGAGAGTTCCGGTTCGATACCATAAGCATTTGCAACATGTTTGCATTCAGACAATATCTTGTCCCAGTTATTTCTTATGGCACTTAAATCATCAATTAGGCTCTCTATATTACTACTCTCAACATCCAAAGTAGCGTCCATAGTTTGAAGTAGTTGACTTCTGTAGTTGATGGGTACCAACACTTTCACCCAAATTGACGCCATAAGGATGCACTTGAAGGTGTTAAGATATTCTAAAACCCCATTGATTGTGGCTCTCGTTTCAACAGTTACGTTAAGATTCAACAATGATGAAACTGCCTCAATGATTTTGCCTATGTGTGCCGCTATTGGTTTCACACATTCTACTCTAGCACTCCACCTCGTATCAGACAATGAGTGCAGTGAAGATCCTACTATCTCTTTCAGAAGCTCCCATCTTTTTGGGCTGCAACTGAATAAATTGTACAGATTCTGAACAACACCAAAGAAAGTCTGTGCTTCAGTACAACTCTCAGCAGCGCATACTCCACATAAGTTCAAACTGTGGCATCCACATGGTGAGTACACAGCCAGAGGGTTTGATTTTAAAATATGAGCCTGAACACCCTTATACTTGCCACTCATATTACTGCCGTTATCGAATCCCTGTCCTCTACAGTTATCTAAGGATATGTCATATTTTTTAAGAACTTCTTTGATTAGATTTGCGATGTCTTCTCCAGTTTTTTCATTGCAGTCGGAAAACTCCAAAAATCGTTCATGGATTTCATATTCTTTTACGTCTTCTTTGAAAATAATGTATCTAAATACAAAAGAGGTCTGTTCTACATGGCTTGAGTCTGGTGTAGCGTCAACCATAATAGAATAGTATTTAGATCGCTTGAGTTCGTCCACAATAACTTTCCTTACATAATCAGCACAACTTGCTATGAACTCGTTTTGAGTTCTCCAAGACAAATAATGCACTTGCATTCTCTTATTCGATTCTTGAGATTGCTTAACCTGATCTAGATGCTTCGATAAAATAGGGTCATAATGACCTAAAAGTTCTAGCACGCCCAAAAAATTGCCGTTGTTTGGATGACCCACCTTTTGAGTTTCTCCTCTAAAAGAGAGACCTCGCTCACTTAAAAATAAAGTTACGTGAAGGAGTCTGTGTAAGATCTGTTTCCAGGTAGTGATTTCATTCTGCAATTGTTTTTCAATGCTACCAAATATAGTACCTCCTTTGTTAAGATTTAATTCCAGATCTTTCCATTTTAAGTAACATCCTTTATGGCTAAGGCTGTTTTGGTGCTCAGGAATCTTTTCGTACAACTTTTTCCATTTATGTTCTTTTGGAAACCCACTAACTGAGGCGAATTTGGATCGCACCACCTCTGTCTGAGTACAAAACAACCGACAAGGAAAGCAAAACAAAGCCTGTTTCACTTCGCTCCAAACAAGCCAATCCCTTGGAACAACTTCATTATTGGGTAGTTTAAATTTAAGCAGAGATAAAGGAAATTGCCGTCTCGTTGAGTCTGCAGGAAACGTGTTGGGATGAGCTTGTGGCCCCTTTGTGACAGCAACTTCAACTTGTTTAGTACTAAGTTGTAACAAACTCAAATTGCCTACATCAAAAACTTCTGGTTGGCTCAAAATGTTCGTAGACGCTGACACTGCCTCATCCTGTTCGTCACGTTCTTCTAAGTGTAATGGAGTTAAAAATTCATCACTACTAAGTGAGGATAGCTCACGACCAACATTTGAGCTGTTGGAGGGTGTTTGTGAATTTGAAGTGCCCGGGAGGATTAAGGGCTCATTTTCAATGTTAGTTTCTTTCTCTTCATTTGACACATTTTTCGGCTGTGTTAAGAAAACAGACAGCTTCTGTTGGCCTTTCTTTGCCTTCTCCTCTCTTTCATGTTTTTCTTTCCTCTTTACGGCCCCAGATTTGTGTCGGTATTCCATTTTAAATTCTAAAAAAAAAAATGAAAACCTATGTAAGCTAATTGATTAAAAAAAACCGTTAGAGGATAGAGGTTAGAAAGGCCCTATATTTGTCCTTTTCCCACAGAAAAAAATTCATCCAAACCACATCTAGAATTAATTTAATTACAAAAAACAAGACCATTTGCACCTAAAAACTGTCTTTCGCCAACAGTTTCTATTGAAGCTATATCATATCCAGGACAGTATGCTTAATATATATTTGTAATTAAATAAATTCATTACATAATC